AATTGCCCTTATATTGGATGGTAAATATAGACAAGCAGCTTATTTCCTTTTCATCAGTTTTCTTCAGAAATGAAAATTCACTACTTAATTTTTCATTAAATATGTACTTTTTTTCTCATTGCTCTAGAAAAGGTTTATTGCAAACTAAAATGTTATTACCACCCAGTAAAATTAACACATTATTATAGATATCCACTTTTGCAATAAATAATAAAATTACTTTAGAGTAGCATAGATTACTCTGTCTCTTTGCATAACCTGACCTCATTGCTCATGTTTCTCAAAGACCCTACTAATTGGAGGCCTGGTTTTTGGATGCATCTCTCAGAGCACAGCACAACTGCTGACAAAAGTTAGTTTGGCAGGATGCCAGATGAGTTAGCTAGCTAGGCATTATCACCAAGATTCTCTGACATGAAGAGGATGATTGTACTGAGAAAAGCTTCTAGTACTGGAGAAATAGCTTCAAATTGATTAACTCACTACTGGTAATTATAGACTGGACAAAATTTGAAAGCAAACAAGCCAACTACTTGCATGTTACTAGAAAGCAAACAAAAGCAAGCAGATGAAACAACTTTTTTAAAAAAAGGAACTCCTTAGTATACGAAAACAATTCAGGATAGATAATAGTTTAAATATAAAGTGGTGGGACCACTGAGCTAAATCTCCGGCCCCCCGCAAAATCATTAATTCAGTTTCAATGGTCACCTCATAGAGTCTAACTCTGAAAATTGCAAGTTGATTTTATCCAGGTAAATCTGTGTTTTCTGTCTTTCATATCTACCTGTTTTTTTTCATGGGATTCAGGAAAAGTATCAGATATTTTTCTTTATTTCACTCATCCAATGTTACACAGTCTACATTCTGCTCTTGAGTGGCCTGCAATATAGATTCTATGTCTTCGATTGCTGTTTTTAAACTCTTTTATCTTTTCTGATGATGTTGTGAATACATGGAGTAGCTGAAGAGCTCAGTCCTAGAGAGCACCTTCACCAGAGCCCTACCCCTCTCTGCCCTCATTGCTTGATCCTCATTTTCTCCTGGGAACTCGATACCTGCGGGTCTAAGATGCCACCACCATTTCCTTTTTCTGACCAATTGTCCAGTAGTTTTCTAAGCATGGCTACCCTTGATTGCATACAACAAAGAAGCTACTCATGTGATTGGCAAGAGAGTGGGGCAGCCACCACGCCTGCTGTCAAAACTCAGCACCTGTGCAGAAAAGAAACAGCACTTGAACTTGGGCTGGCGCTTTTCATTTTGAAGCCAGGGGCAGAAAGTAAAGGCATGGCAGCCTACTTTTCTAATTTCCTTCACCTGAACCTTTTATCTTCAACTGCATGGTTTATAGGGTTTTTCTCTTTCCCTACCTTCCAGCTCAGCTCCATTCGCTCTCTTGGAGAAATTCCTGTAAGATTTTGGAGTAGGTTGGTTGTTAGCTCAATTTGGGTGTTGATGTTTCTTTTTTCCTTTGAGGGTTTTCTTATGCTTCTTAGCAAGGGGAAGTAATGTAGAAAAAAATCAGCCAACGTTTTGTCAGAGGTCATACATTGAAAGGTTTCCTGGCACCAGACAGGTAGTATACAAGAAGGAAGCAGGTAGGTAGAAGGCAATGAGAGGTCTAATCAGCTACAGTCACGTAGTGAAGAGAAGTGCTGTCCCAAGGGAGCAGCCACTGCTCAGCTACACCTGACTTTTGCGGTTCAGGAAGTGCAGGTATGGCACTTCTTTATGATTTTTAAAGACAAGCAAGAACCTTTTTATAATTAATAAATTTTCTGTTTTGTAATACAGTTATGTACTGCGTAACAACTTTTGGGTCAACAATGGACCCACTTAACAGCGGTCTCATAACACTATATCACCTAGTGACATAGTAGCTGTCTTAGTTTGTGTAATAGAGTCTATGATGTTAATGTAAGGATAAAATCTTCTCATCGTTCATCTCTTAGAAGGTGTTCCTGCTGTTAAATGACACACAACTACACTGAGTTTGTCAAACCAAGAACATCAGCTAAGTCTATCTTTTCTGTTACTATTTGGGAAATTCTGCCTTGTAGTTTGGAAATTTTTAAATAGAATTTTGTTTCTGATAATATGAAATAATTCTGTAAGGAGTTTTTCTTTCTACTGATAATCTTGCAGGAAATCTCCAAGAAAAATCATTTTTCCCTGGAGACTAATAAAGAGTTTATATATATATATATATATATAGCACTCCATCAATTTAGGCAAAACTAGTGATTTCTCCAGTTACCCACTTATCGGTTATCTATTTATTTTGAAGTAACTACTCAAGTTTTGTTACATGCCAGGCACTGAAGACAGTAGAAAGTAAGTCAAAATCCTAACTTACAGATCTTACCCTCTGTGTGTGTGTATGGGGGGTGGCAAGGGGGGGCGGTGCAGTGGGGATATGCATGAGGGCATGGAAACACAAAAATTACTAAATAAATGCACAATAAAATTTCACCTCCCTCTGGGGTGAATTGAAGTATAATGTTCCTTTTGTCCTATTCACAGTGGCCCTCTGGATCAGCTCTGTTGTGTCCAAAGATAATTTGAATTATCAATCCTTTCCCTCACTCAGTCAATGAATTTCTGACACAGATCCAAGTTTCAGGAGCCCTGTTAGAGAGACTCTAAGCTGAGATAAGTATAGGCTTGTTGCAATTATTGTGAGTGGCAATAGCTCTTATTATTGATGTGTACAGTGAGGGTTGGTAGAATTTATCCATGGGATCTGTACTAAGTTATAATTCCCAAGCGGGCTAGTGAGGGTATTTTCTAAGCAAAGAGCAGTGGAGGTTTTATCACCTTTGATGGATATTAAAATATGTATTAACTCATATCAGTTAAAAATTAATGTAATTGAAGATAGAGCCCATTGTCTCAGGAAAGCCCACCCAACTGTGAGACATTTCAGCCAGCCTTCTGAAATTTGCAGAAGAGTGCATGGAGTAACAGAGCTTAGATTGTTCTGGAGGCCCTGGACTGAGTCTGAGACAGCCTGGAAATATGTCCTCCCAAACAAAGATCAGTTGGGTTGACTCTCTTAATCAAGGGCCTAGTGGGATTGTGTGGAAGCATGGAGAGTGAAACATAGCTATTCCGACAATATTAATAACTTATTAGTCCCCTAGAGAATCAAACTTCAAAGTAAAAAAATCCCTTTACTAAATGATTTGGTTTCTCATATGAGAGAAACCATGTGATATTTAAGTTTGTGTGTCTAATTTATTTCATCTAACATTATGGTCTCAAGGTGGATCCATTTTTCTACAGATGACTCAGGCTCATCAGTAGTACTCCATTGTGTGTAATAAATACCATATTATCTTTATCTATTCATCTATCGGTACACATATAGGCTCCTTCCATAATTTATCTATTATCAATTTTATGGGTGTGCATGTATTACTGTAATACAATGTCTTTAACTATTTTGGAAAAATACCTAGAGGAGGAATAACTGGGTTGCATGGAATTTATACCTTTAGTTTTAAATATAAGTGAAGAGAAAAATAAAAGATAAATAATAGGAAGTAAGGAGATAGATCTTTGTCAAATGGGAAGGATTAAGAAGGAGGGAGGGGGAAGGAAGGGAGAGGAAGGGGATGAAAAAAGAATTAAGATGGTCTATGTACATGTACCAGCTCCCCACAAGGATTGCAATCATTGTGTACTAAAAACATGTACTAATAAAAAAAGTTGATACTGGACACTTTGACTTGGGCAAGAATAATTCAGATACACTGAAAAATGCTTCTATGATATAATCATAGCCACACTTTTTTCAGTATTAAGTACTCTAGATTAACATTTGTACCATATTTAGGGTGTACCTAAAATTATTTGAGGGTTAACTGAAATTAAAATTTTCCTAGTATCCTGTATTTTTATTTGCTAAACCTTGTAGTCCTTGTAGTTCTATTTATATTATCAATTATGTCAAGTATTATTTCTGTAAATCTAATCTTTAGTTTAAACAAACATCTTCCATTTTAATTCCTAAAGCCATTTAAATAGTATAATTAAGTAAAAGTATATGATAATCCAATATGATGTGATTTCTGCAGACATTAAAAATTATTTTTCTAGTTTGCCTGCAACCTTCCTTCTTTCCTGCTAAGAATCTGCCTTTCTGTCTTACTCACAGCCTATGTATATTTGTGTTCTCATACACTCACACAGACTACATCTACAGCGAATCAAATCTGGTGACTTTTCCAATTAAACTCTTAACAGAATTTTATATATTAACATACCACATCTGATTGAAAGTAAATAATGAATGGATTATAACCTGTAATTTATTTGTTTGATAAATTTGATGTTTATTTTTATAGACATCACTAGTAACTTAAAAATTTTTAATTTAGCATTGTTCTTGCGTTCCCCCTCCCCTTTGCTGTACTCACATTACTTCTCTTCTCACTGCTTGGTCAAAGACATAGATTTTAGATGATCAGACCTAATCATCCTCAGTAGAAAAAGAAAAAGACTATTATTGCTGTAGGAAATTTCTAGCCAAGGACAAAGAGAAACCTCATCTATTAGTAACTAAGATAGGAGACTTAAAAAATGAAACAAAAACTCTGAAGAATTAGGCAGAGACTCCTCTGAAAAGAAAGCAAGGGTATGTTTGCTTGAAACGGATTCATGATACCCCCTTGGCAGGTGGAATTTGTACTTAAATGGCAGACACAAAATTACTTATTTTCCTCTCTGTTCTACTCATCTCTAAAATGAAAACACCCGCTGCATATTACACGAGTATCTGTCAGCATTTCTTTTTAATCAAATCATCTTGATTTTCATTTTACGATAGTACTTAGCTGTGCTCCTGAAGTTTCTTTGGATGAATGAGTTTTTTAAAAAACAAGGACTGCAGCAAACTTAAAATCAAGCATATTTTATTCTCATTTATGCCTCCAAATTATTATTTCAGAATGAGTAAGTTTTTCCATCCACTCAATATCTTCTCTTATTTTCAGAAACCTGAATTTGGCTCCAAGAAGCTTCCAAATTAGGAGAAGAAAGAAAAACGGTACTGGAATTTTCTCCCCTTCAAAAGGGGCCTTGCTTTCTACTCCTGAAGTTCATGGCTGTTGATCCCAAGCCACTCTTCGACAGAGAATAGTGCTGAGAGCAAAGACTAGTCACTGACCTGCCAGCTTGCATTGTGTGAAAATATGACTGAGACCGCTGAGGAATCCTAAGCTATCCAAGGATGATGTATCACCTCACCACCAGTTCTTGGGTAAGCTCTGAGGATGTATTTAACTGGGCATTTCTGTATATCAACACTTTTTTCAACCGGAAAATTTAGATGATGAAACACCCAAATCTACTTGCAAATCAAGAAGCTTCAGTTTTCTTTTTTTTCTCTTTCCTTTAGAGCAAATAAAGGTAGAATTAGCTTAGTTATTATTTATAATTGGTATTAGTTTTAATGGTAGTTATATAAATAATTAAAATGTAAATGTGTACTTTGGGGTGACTCCTATACAATAACAAACTGATCATTTAATAATTATCAGTAGAATCTTTCTTTAAAATTACAATTATATTCAGTGTAATAGCTATTGAAAATAAATGTAGAATTCACTCACCAGTAAGAAAGTTCAGATTATATGCTTATGTATTTTTTATTATAACATTTAATTGTGTATTAAAAATGCATTACCTTTGACAGTAACAGAGTGAACTCTGGAGAGTAAACACACTAGTCTGTTTCAGTTCTATTAAACCACATGGAATTTGCTATTTGAATTTGGCTTTGCGTCTTAGAGAGCCAGAGATTACCTGATTGTTGGATGATTAGGTTGTTTACTGGATACATGAGGTTGCTCTTTCCTTCCTCAAAAGTGTTTAACTGGTAAGATGTAGAAGAGAATAGTATATGCTCTTTTAAAATAGAAGAATATCTACTGCCTATAAACTATTGACTAAGTGAATAAATTGTATAACATCCTCAAAGTCGTTCACTTAATAAACCCTCCTGTGAGGTCTGAGAAGCATCCTAAAAACTGAGATGTAGAAGAATATTGTCTCCAGGAAAAATTGTCCATGAGTTTGTCTTTTGGTTTGGGAAGTGTTTCACAGAGTGGAGGTGACGGTTGTGATACACATATGCTATGCTTTAGTGGTGAACACATTGGGCCCATCAAAAAACCTCTATAAGCTTTAGAGGGAAGACAGGTTTCTATAAAAAGGTAATTTTACTTTTAATTAGAATTCTGAAGACATCTGTATAAATTTTCAGTTGGAGTTAAATAATCTCTGTAATTATTGAAAGTAACTTACCAACTTATTTAATTATTAGACAAAGTAATGTACTGCCTTACAGAAGTACACGTTAAAGATATGAGTCATAAGACACGTTTAGGGTATGCTAAGAAGCACAAGTTTATCTTGAACTTGTCAACCTCCACAGGAACAAGCTTCTGATATACCTGCAATATGTTTTAAGAAAACAAAGCTTATTCTCAAGTGGAACAGTTTTCACATTATAATATATAGTTATTTTGAAAGTGTCCTGTTACACAACTGACTTTCACATCAGTGGTCAAAAATGCAAAAGATACCTGCATGATGGGTTAAGGGATTTAATACTCACTTGGAGTAAAATTCCAGGCAGCAAGCACATTTCCCGTAGATCTCCTCCCTCTCATGAACCAAGTGTCCAGGAGGGACATTTTCATTCCTTTCAGAAATTAGAAGACCAATGACAGACACATATAGGTGATTTTACTTATGCAAATTTAGACAGGAAATACCTTCATCCATATAAATTCAAGCTTGTGATTAAGGCATGATATCTTATTAAAAGAGAACAGGCTTTTGAAGCCAATTTTATTCTTCACTAGTGTCTGCAAATTTTTAAAGAAGTACACCTAAAAATTTTGCATCAGCAACTTAATGAGGTTAACTTAGAGCTCTGTCTTAAGGCATAACTTGTATACTGTGTTAGTTACCAATAACAAATCAGAATTACTCACTTATAATTTCCAATAAACTTTGCTACTCTAGTAAGACGTTTATTCAGAATTGCTATTCATTACTATCCTAATAAATGAATGTTTTTAGAGACCATATTACAATACTTCCCCAAAATGCTTTTGCTATGCAATGTAGAACTGTTGAATTATGCTGTTAAGGGAGTTTATATTTTCTTTTTACATTAAGCTTAGAAGAAAAGGTATCTTTCAGAGAATATAAACAACATGATGGTTTCTTTCTAAGACAGCAGAATTTTGCTATAACTTCCTACTGGTGAATTCCCTAAGCAATGACATTTCTCCTTTTAATTTACCATGTTGGCCACAAAACTTTCTCCTATTTGAGCCTCGGGGTCTTGTGCATTTCTCTAGATTAGAAGTGATGAGCTTTAGTTAACCAAAAATCCCAATGGTAAAGGGATTTGGTGAATGGCTGTGTTCAAAATCCAGCTATTTCATTCTCCATTTATTCTATATTCAGTGTCAGAGTCTTGCTGCAAATCTTTGTTACTTTTACGATTGGAGAGTTTTCTCAAAGGAGATGGTTTCCATGGAAGGAATTAAAAGTACATTAGCAAGTCTGACCCTTTAGAGTAAGTTTACATTAACACTATTAATTCTTGAATAAAATCTGAAGACTCAGAGCAGGAATTATGATGTCATATACAGACCTCAAACTCTTGGGGAATTGTAAATCATTAAAACAGACTTGGCGGCAGGTTTAGGAGCTATGAGATTCTGACAAATACTTTTTTGGGTGTGGCTTCAGTGGAGATATTTAACAAAGGAGCTATGATTTTTGAGCCAGGTGAAGTGCTTTATTTCATGTGCTAGAAAAGGCTATGTGGAAATGCTGGAGAATGAGTGTTATGTGCACATTTATATACTTTGTATTGAACTGTCTGGAGCCTTACAAATCCAAAAAATACAAATCTTTTGCCCATATTAAAATAAATTTATAATTATGTAAATATAATTCATTCATAACATGTTTTTACAAAAGAAATCTTGGTAAGTATTTCCCTCAGGAAATTTATTTTCTTTTTCCTGAGGATCTCATCTAAAATTGCATTAAAAGTGTTAGTAGTTCATTCTTTTGAAATAATATAAGTGCTATTTCCCTTCTATTGGGAAACACAAGACACTATGCAGAACAATTATATGCTCCTCCAACTTCCAAATATTTCTATTAAATTTATATCAAATTAAGTGTCTTTGAAGAGAGAAATAAAAAATGGCAAAATTCAGACTTCATAGATGGGGTAGCAGGGGATGTATCAGTCAAATTTATGGAGAGATAATATGAAATTAAATATCCACCCTCACAGATTGTGAGATTCTTTGGTGTTATAGACAATGCAGTATTATATCACATTTTCCTAGTTGCTAGTGTCATGAGATGCCTTTACTTCCATCTCCATCTCACAAGTTGGGTTTAACTGAGCCACTAGTCAAACCCTGAGGATAAATCTGTGTTAATGATGAGTAAAAACATGAAGGTCAATAAATGTTCATTTCCCACAGTATTCTGCTCTCTCAGATATGTGCATATGAGAATAGAATAATAGTTCTGGGTATCTACTCAACCTCCAGAGTGGGTATAAAGATTATTTCAAAATGAAAACATTTGAGTTAAATAAAATGCAGAAAGAAATCATATTTGAATTTCTCTTGTCTGACTAAAGCAGAAAATACAGCTGTAATTAACTGCCTCCCAAGAGTTTCCTGCAAAACTCAATTGCCATGGAGACAGACTGCCCATTTCTATCAGTATCAAAAGCCAGAACTTTACTTTCCAAACTTTTGTACAGAAGCCCTCATTCCCTATACCCATACATATTAAGTTTGCTATATAAATCTTTTATCATATTTATTGAATTAGTCATCACTGAGTACTGCATAAAGAAACCTTGTCTTTTCTCCTTTTAATCTATTATCCGTTTATTTCCACACTCCCTAACACCGGACTGAAGTTGGAAGAAGAAAGTTTTCCTCTTGATATTTTATGTAAAGCAATGGAGCATGGCACAGAGAGATTGCATGGGAGGTTCTTGTTGGTAGCACTTCCAGGAAACTATGCTTTTATATAGAGTTATGATGGAGTTCTGTTTCCAAACTGTTTTTGTTATTGTTGTTATTGTTTCATACCTGTGAGGCAGTTATAACCCAAAGAATCAGTCATCATTTACATTGCAAAGCAAGAGGGAATTTCTACAATATTTCATATAATAACTACTTCATACATAGGAAGCACTAATTATGCTTTTTTGTTTTAGGGAATTGGTTTTGATAGCAAAGTTAACATTAGCCTGTTTTAGAACATTGTTGTGATAGGTAACTATATAGGGATTACTAACCTAAGGCAGGGAACATCTGGCACTATCTCCCTTCTATCTGTGTAAAAAGAAATAAAGTCCCACTTTATAGTTGGAAGCAGATCAAGTATTGGCCATGGGGAAAATTATTGTAGAAATTAGTTAAAAAGGAATAAAGTATATGGTCCCTCAAAGCCTTAACTGGCCAAAGTAGATTGATGGTTATCACACAAAATAGAATGGATTTTTGAAGTATAAGTAAACATTAAAAAGAGGACTAGATGCATATTGAGGCCATACTCTTAAGTGAAATAAATAGGACACACATGTGTAAATACCAAATAGTTTCTGTAGTGTGAGAAACTGAAAGTGTAAATAAGGATTAAAATGATTAAAATGAGTAATTCATAATTTGAAATAGGAAAAGGTCCAAAGGTGTAGGGGTGGTTGGAGGGGAAGGGAAAAGGGAAGAAGGGAAAGGAAAAATTATGGGAAAAGAAAAAAAAATTGAAACAAAATCTATGTAAATAGAGAAGGGTGGAGGGGGTGAAGGGCGCACAGGTAATGGGGAAAAAAATAAGAACTAAGATACATCATGTACAGGTACAAACACCCAATGATAAATGTAAATGTATTGCATACCTAAAATGTATCAATAAAAGAATTTTTTAAAAAAGAGGACTAGAGAAGAATAGGGATCAAAGTTCATAATCAAA